CTCGAACCTACATTTGACTTCTCAGCTATCCTCTCTAGATATGGAAGAAACATGCGAAGAAAGAGAACTAAAAGGGTTGTAATGTTTGCATGTTGCCTAAAGAGAGTCTACACTGGGCCAGTTAACACTGTAAAACATCCCTCAGGCAGGCACATGTGCAGAATCAAAAGTGAGGCTGTGAGAAGTGATTGGTCAGCCCAAGAAAAAGTGACTTGAGAGCAAGCTCAGCACCCAGCCTCAAGAAAAGAGACACAACTAAGAAGACAGCCATAGATCTCTCTTGGTGTTTCCAGTGTTCAGGAGGAAGAAAGACCAAAGACATACTTGATTCCTCATCAATCTTAATACAGTCAATAAAATGCAATTGGAGTTAGAATAGGCATTCTCATCCTTGTGGCAGACATGCTAGATCTAGACATCAAAGGGAGATCCAGAGATCTCTCTTACCACCAAGCTGACCACATATCAATTTCCCTAAGACCTTTCAACAAAACCAGCTTAGCTAATGAACATATTTAATTCATTAAAAGTTAAAACATGAATATCATTTTGTTAAATGACTGATTAATGCAATATGAACATACCAGTATTTTACAGCAGGTAAAACTAAAACCACTGATGCTAGATGCAGAGGATGGCAGCCTTAGGGCCATGTGGAGAACCCCAGGGCACCTCCCTGAAGTCTTTGATGCCTTGCAAGATGTAGACCTAGTGTTACTAGGATTTCCAAAAGTGGCTGAAATCTGGTTTTCAAAGTGTGATTCTGCTGTCATTTGCCTTTGGCAAGTATCTACCTCCTGTCCTGGCCAAACACAATTTATTCAAGGGCTAGACTTACTCCCGTGCCTCCCAGTTGTGAGCTCTGCTGTGGATTGCTGTGCGTGTGTCTGCTAGTAGCTTATACTATCCTCCAGTGGATGGTGGTCCCCAAGACCCCCAAATATTACACTAGTTTGATATTTTATTAAGGTCTAAATTTGTGCCTGAAATGCTCCAAAGCTAATTTGGAAAAGTGGTGTACTTAGCTAGTGAATAAATACCCTTTGCTCTATAGTCAAAGTTTCTGTTTTTCAATATGGATCTTGAGTATCTGTGGCCAAATTTGAATGTGTATTGTCTTCTGAAACAAATAAAGCTTTGCTTTGAAAAGTTGGGGAGGGTAGCAAGAAGCCCCAGAAAGAAATGTAGAGAAAGTGAAAATATTACTAAATATTTAACTTATAGAAGTTTGGAAGGTTGGCATAGAATTCAGCTAAAGAAAGGAATTTTGAACCAAAACCATCAGTGCTATTTAGACTTTGGTAGCAATAATTAGGGAAGAAGCATATGAAGACATCTCTTGAAACTCCTGTTATATTTTACCTCATTTAAAAAGAACATTGAAGGGCTATGAGCCTTTTTTGAATTATTAATTTTAAAGTTAAAATATTAATTGAATATTTTTGAGGGATGAAGGGTCACCTTGCGAATGCCAGGAGACTATGTGGTATTTCATACGTTATCCTCAAGTCTTTTTAATGTTCTAGATGCCTCAGATAGATTGCTAAGGGCACTTACTGCCTGGTTTTTTTTTTCTTTCTTTCTATTTTCTTTTATATACCCAGGGCAAAGTTCTGCTCATTGAAAGTTCGTAATGAATTCCTTTGAATTATTTAAATGTGTTTCTCAATTTTAAACGTTTATGACTGAAATGTGTGTTTCTTTCTACCAACTCTAGTTGTGTGTGTGCTTGCCAAAGTGAAAGGAGGCACACCTCAGAGGAATTCAATATACACTCTGGTTTTATGAACCAAACAATGTAGTTCTTAATTTGAAATCCCTCTCTCTTTGCAAATCCTTATCTTCTTAAAATATTTATTTGGGGATCTTATGACAGGAGACTTTTTTTCTAGGGTTTCACTATTTCCTGAACTAGACCTGACATGAAATAAAAACGCATTGTATTTCTCTTTGAATTCAAATCAAAAGATGTTGGCTGACAAAACCCACTGCCTGTTCAAAATACAGGATTGGAAGCATTGCACTGTATTTGGTTTTAGCTCCAGGAACTGATCTGAAATTGCCTTCAGGGTGAGAGCACAAACAGACAGCATCTCCATCTCCCAAGCCTGAGGCTTGCTTGTTATTGCATGGATGGGATTCTGAGTTCCGGCTCATCTGCTGGACTCACCGCTGCCCCTTTGAACTGCTCTGCTGTCTTTCAGTGTCTTCATGAACGAGCCAACAGCACAGTTGTGGGATGAGAGCTTGACTTCAGTTGTTTAGATCACGTTGTTTGCCAGGAACTCTTCTTCCCTTCTGGCAATAAGACAGCCCAAACCATAAAACATAGTTCAGACTGCATGGAGCTTGTCAAGTGTAAAGGACTTGGTTGGCAAAGAGTGGAGTTTCACTACTAATTATAGATTCTTCTCCCTTATTAGTTCTTTCATTTGTTCGGCTCATCTTTGGAAGCGTTATGTTTCTACATGAGAAATTCTCCTGGGAGAAAAAATGAAAGGAGAGGCCTGTAAACAAGCTGGTGGCCTTCCTGAGCTTTTTAGAAGCCATTATGGGTGACGGAGGAGACAAAAGGTGGCATCTGTGTTTGTCTCAGGATTCACAAAGGAGACAACGTGCACAGAAAATATTTTTAAAGCTAAGTTTCCAAACAAAAAGATGGGAAAATTTCTCAAGCCCTGCTAGTGTATTTACTGTGTCTCACTCTACCTTGACTATTTGGATGTACTTGTTTTGTTATTACCTATATCATTAACAATTAAAATACATTTCTTCTGTTTGTTTGTTTTCCTCTGAGAGGTGATGCGTTTACTATTTCCATCAGGGATTCTCCATTCAACAAATATTTTATAGTATTTTTATTTTATAGTTAACTTAATTTCACATATCAGCCACGGGTCCCCCCTTCTTTCCTCCCAAATCCCAGTCCTCCCCCCAATCCACACACACCCCCGCTCCCACCTCCTCCAAGGCAAAGTCTGCCTTGGGGAGTCAGCCAAGGCAGGTCCAGTCCCCTCCTCCCTACCCCAAGACTGAGCAAAGTGTCCCAGCATAGGCCCCAGGCTCCAAAAAGTCAGCCCATGCACCAAGGCCTAGCCCCAGGTGGAGTTCAGGGAGTCAGAGGAGGGATTGTATGAGTGAGAGATGGTTGGAGGAAGCACAGGGACAAACATTCAATGAACAATTTTAAAGTGCCTATTCCATTTAAAGCATGTTGACTTTAAAAAAAAAGATGGAAGAAAGGAACAAATGAATGGGCTGGAGAAATGGCTCAATGATAAGAACATTTAACATGCAAGTGACAGAACCTGCTTTCTGATGTGCCCAGCACCCGCACTCTCCAGTGAAAAGAAAGTGGGAGGTGGCCGCTCATGCTTGTAAAACTGTGTTGTGTTGGAAGAGGCTGGAGGACCACTGGGTCTTTCAGGCTATGGGCGTATCTCCAGGTTGAGTGCAAGACCCTGCCTTGCAGGAATAAGATGGAATGTGATGGAGTAGGAAACACACACACACACACACACACACACACACACACACACACACACACACACACACACGTTCATATGCCATACACAGAGAGAAGAATAAATGAAAATCAACTCATATATGCCCATAACTGGTAACCTATGAGCCAGAATTCACTCTTCTAAGTTGACGAGTTATTGTGGCAGACTCATATGACTCATTGGCAAAAGATTTTGTCCTCGGTAAAAGCTGAAATAATAGTTGCTTCAGTTCATATCATGTTCTGAGTTTTCAACTCCACTCTAGTATCTGCAACTAGACCACAGATTCATTTTTCATGAAATCTTTGAAATTTTTATTAATTTTACTTTCTGCCTAGCATATTCTCTTTGTAAGAAGTCTTATGAACTTTTTTAAAAAGACCAAGCTATTTTAGATATATTCTAATTTTAGTTTTCAAAAAATTTTTGTAGATATTCATATTCCATACCTGCATTTTCTCTACATTAAAATGCTAAACCTAAGATGCCAACTAAGCTTTTGAATTAGACAAAGGTGAATTTTAGTTATTCTGAATATTAGCATTTTGCTATAAACAGTGTTACTTGTGTTTTAGCGTGTGAGTAACTGCATCCTGTAGAAGGAATCTTAAAAGTTCTTATTAATAAAATCAAACCCGGGGCAAGTTATTGGGGTCCATGCTGGTAGATCAGAGAGACAGAACAAGCCACAGCTATCTCACCTCACTGGATCCTCAGCTGGTCCTGTTTCCTCAGACTGGAGGCCTCTGAGTCCTCATCCGGAATGGGTCTCAGCTGAATTACTGCTCAAAAGCCTGAATGTTTAACCAGCCAAAATCTTCTAGTTTCTGGTCCTCACGCCTTATATATCTTTCTGCTTTCTACCACCACTCCCTGGGATTAAAGGCTGGCTTTCTGGGATTAAAGGCATGTGTCACCATGCTTGGCTATTTCCAATGTGGCCTTGAACTCACAGAGATCCAGAGGGATTTCTATCTCTGGAATGCTAGGATTAAAGGTGTGAGTGCCACCATTTTCTAGCCTTTGTATCTAGTGGCTGTCTGTTCTCTGACCCCAGACAAATTTATTAGAGTACACAATATTTTGGGGAACACAATACCACCACATTTCCTCTCTTTTTGTCTAAAATTAAAAAAGCTTATAACTAATACAAGAAAAACTATCTTCCGTCAGTATATGCAATATACAGTCAAGATTGCATTAACAATGTCTAGTCCATTAACATTTGACAGATCCAGACAAAAAACTCCATTATATATATTAACAATGTCCAGTCCAGTAACATCTGATAAACTCAGACCAAAAAATTTTCATTACTTATCTTATTTAAAACAAGTAGTTCCTTTTTAAAAGTAGATTCCATAATCTCCCTTTTTATCTTATCATATCCATATTTTCTCTTTTTTTCTTTTCATAATAGATTCAGTAGTCTACCTTTTGTCATTTTTATAGCATCCCTTACTGGAAGGAGCTAAATGTTGTTAATGTTTTTAGGTGATTTGAACTCCTGGGATCTGTTCATTTGCCTGCCTTCCAGGGAAGCTGGTGGGAAACCCTGCTTGCCCAGAGAGCACATGTGTCAGCTAAGTCTACATCAGAAGGTAAGTACAGTCAAAATATAAACACAGTTTATCAAGTCTAGGGATATTATTAAAGGTGAAAGGTTTTGGGTCCATATATTGTTGTTGCTTTTTAATTCTTGAAAACTTGGAACCACTGTATGTTTGGCAAAAGTTTCAGAAAGTTAACTTTCTGCCGCTGTGACAGAATGGCTAGGACAAACCAGCATACAGTTCACTCACAGTTTCAGAGTTTGAGGCCAGGGTCATTGGCCTTGCTGGCTTCGTGCCTGTGCTGAGGCCATAATCATGAAGTGGGGTGTGTAGTAAAGGAAAGGTTCACCTCACGGTATCCAGGAAGCAAGGACACCAAGGAAGGCGACCACCAGGGTCCCAGTATCTCCTTCATCAGCTTGTTCCCAATGGTCTAACTTTCTCTAGTGAAGCCACACTTCCCAAAGATTTCACCAGGTCCCAATAACAAACAAGAATCTCTGGGGGGCATTGAAGATACCACAGGTAACATCATATCTTATTATTCAATTTATAATTAGAACCAGATTTTGCTTTTGATTTTAACATAATTTGCCCCAGCTTAAACTCTTATAGTTTTTTTTTTAACTCAGTAAAACACAAACTTTACATAGAATCATGTAGCTTATTGGATGCTACTTATCCTCAATTCATTGATCCATAGCAGAAAAAATATTTTCTATATCATTGTACTGATTTTTTCAAACTTAGCATATCTCCTAGTCAGCTTCAGTTGCCATGGTGAACCAGCCTAGAGTCATCTAAGAGGAAAGCCTTGAGTGAAAAATTGTCTGAGTCAGACTGGCATGTGTGCATGTCTGCAAGGGATTATTTTAAATATTAATTTATATAGGCAGTCCTAGCCCTGTAGGCTACAGGCTGAAGAATTACTAGGCAGCTGATCATGAGCTGTATTAGAAAGCTAGCTGAGCATAAGCCCACGAGCTAGCCAGAGAGTGAACCAGAAAGCAGCATCATTACTTCATAGTTTCTGCTTCATGCTCCTGCCCTGCTTGAGTTCCCACCCTGATTTCCCTGAGGAAGTGACCTGGAAGTGTAAGCTGAAATAAACACTTTCTTCCCAAGGTTGCTTTTGGTGGCCGTGTTTTATCACAGCAACAGAAATGAAATAGAACATCAAATTGAATTGCAAAAAAAGTAATATACTTTCTCAACCTAAAATCGAAATTCTGTATTTACTGTCTACGCTGTGTGAACGTTTATAAGTGATGATAGAGCGAAAACTTATCCAATGTGCGAGTGATTATACTAGACAAGTTACACACTGTTGGTGCTTATAACAAGTCTGGGAGGAAAGTGCCGAAACCAAGCTGGTTTTGATCTCCTAGTTGAAGTTGCAGTAGCCTACCCCAATGACACAATAGCAAGGAAGGTCTGAACAACTTCATTTTTCTTCTGATTCTTTTCTTGTAACATTTTACTTCTTAGGCCTTTAGGCTAAGCACATTCTTTTGGGTTGGGTTTTTTTGTTTGTTGTTTGTTTTTGTTTTTGTTTTGCTTCTTTGATTTTTTTTTTTTTTGTTTTTACAAAGCCAAGGCTTGGCCTTGAACTCACTACATGTAGTCTAGGCTTGGTCTAGAACTTGTAAAAGTCTTCCTGTTCCAACACACACACACACACACACACACACACACACACACACACACACACACACACACACACACTCCTGCCCCAGTGTTGAGACCTTTGTATCTCTTTAATCATTTCTTTTCTTCATCCTTCTTCCCCCTTCCTCTTCCTACTTCTGGGAACAGCAGGAGGGGAGGTCTGGAGAACAGAACAGTGAGCACTTAACACAATTAGCCATCTGAGGTTCTCTGTGCCCAGAGCATGCCCAATAGTACCCTTCCCCTATCTCCATGTAGCTCCAGTATAATATAAAGTGATAACCAGTTATCTTTCTCTAAACACCTTTGCTTGGCTTTATCACATGCTTTTCTCCTGGTTTTTGTCATATACCTTTCTCCTCCTCCCTCCTCCCTCCTCCCTTCTTTCTTTTTCTTTCGCCAGCCTGGAGTCTCTACCTGTAACCACAGCCGTTCCATGTCTGTTTTCACCACATTTTCTCAGCCTATACTTTATAACACCACTACCCAAATTTCAATTTTTAGTTAAAGATTTTAGTTAAAGATTCTCAAGTCTGCACCTAACCTTCAGAACACTCTCCCGGGCTTCAGGCTCTTGCATACCTGTCCACCTGTCTTGGATGCCGCACGGATGACTCAAATTCAAGCTCCATAACCATATCCAGTCAGTTATAAGTATGATCAACTACTCAGTCACTTCTTAGATTAAAGTTTGGCCTTCATCCTCAAGCACTCCCTCTTCTTTCCTATTTAGAATGTACTCTAGTTCTAAAGCATATAATCCCTGTTTAGTCTGCAGGCCTGTGTCTCAGCATCAGCATCCTCAGAAGGGTAAACTGCAGACAAACTAACAAAAGAACCAAACAGAAGATTGGACAGGGTGGAAGAAAAAGATGGCAGGGCCCCTAGGAACTAGCAAGGGCCCACGATTTTTACCACTCCTGGTCACAAGAGAGGTATACAGAAGGAAGGATGCAGCCCTGAGCTACTGAGAGTCAAGACATCCACTTGGCTGCAGCGGCGGGGGATGGGATGGGGGGTCGGGGGTTGTTGTTAACTGAATGGGAAGTAGTGACCCCACCACAGGCCTGCAGAGAGGATAAGAAAGGAAACTGCTCTCTTCCAGCCCCCCAGTTCCTCTTCAGTTGCTCCCATTGGTCCAACACAGCAGTTAATCAAGAAGCAAGAATATCTGTGAGGCCATCCATAAAAATTAGCCTGCTGGGGACAGCAGGAGGGGAGGGCTGGAGAACAGAACAGTGAGTACTTCACACAATTAGCCATCTGAGGTTCTCTGTGCCCAGAGCATGCCCAATAGTACCCTTCCCCTACCTCCATGTAGCTCCAGTATAATACAAAGTGATAACCAGTTATCTTTCTCTAAACGCATTTGCTTGGCTTTGTCACATGCTTTTCTCCTGGTTTTTGTCATATACCTTTCTCCTCCTCCCTCCTCTTCCTCCCTCCTCCCTCCTCCCACTTCTCCTGCTTCTTTTTCTCCCTTCCTGGAATGCCCTTTCTCAATCCTCTCAATCTCTGTGATTTTTCAACAAGGAGGGGCTTTGTCTCCCTGACAATATCTAGAGACATTTTTGGCTTGTCACAACCAGGAGAAAAACGTGTTATGATCACCTATTGGTCAAAACCAAGGATGCTGCTAATACTAGGTAATGTTCACAACTAAGAGTAACGAAGCCCCATATGCTGATAGTGTCAGAGCTGATAAACCCTAAAGTAGCCCAGGACCAAGGTCTTTCATGAAAAACTCCTGCTCTGTCACACATCACTGAAAGGATTCGGTCACATAGAATCTTTGTAGCCTTTGGTGTCTTTTACTAAAATATGAAGGCGTTAGACACCAGCTTTACATTCTAATGAATGTCACAGGAAACTTTGTAAAGAGGCAGAACCAAGAAGAACAGCAGAGATGCTGTGTGTGTGTGTGTGTGTGTGTGTGTGTGTGTGTGTGTGTGTGTGTGTGTGTGTGTGTCTCGGGGAGGGGGGGACAGGTAGTTTCGAAGTGCAGTGTCTAGTATGCTGAGATTATATCTCCATATTTTTAAATTTCAAGAACAGTTTCAGGCATACAGGAAATTATGGAATTAGTATAGCATTTCCCCATGTACCTTACTCACCTTGCTCTAAGCTTAGCAAGAACAATCATGATGTATTTATCAAGAACAATAACTTAGCATCAGTTCAAACTATTCACAGAATTACAGGCAATGCTTAGATTTTTTTAAACTTAGGTCATTTCTCTGTTCCAGGAGTCAATCAAACACCCTTCTTAGATACAGTTTCAGCCTGTCTCTGTTCTCTCCCAGGCTGGGTGGTTCTCAGTCACTTTTCCCTTAATGGAACAGACATTTCTGAAGAAAATTGGTTTAGTAGAATGTGCCTGGATTGGATTTATTTGACGTTTTCTCACAAAATTATCGAGTTTTTGAAAGAATGCCACTGTGGTTGTTTGAATGAGAATGGCCTGCAAGGGCTCATACATTTGAATACTTGGCTCCTGGTTTGTGTGACTGCTTAAGAAGCACTAGGAGGTGTGATTATGTTGGGGGAAGTGCATCCCTGTGGGCAGGCTCTGAGGTTTCAAAAGCCCACAGGAGGCCTGGTCTCATTCTCCCTGCCTCTACAGTGGGAATCAGTGTGTGAGCTCTCACCTAGTGCTCCAGCCCCACGCCTGCCTGCCTGCTGCCATGCTCTCTGCCACAAAGATCATGAACTGACCTTCTGAAGCTGTAAGCCCCCAATAAACTCTTCCTTTTTATAAGATCCTTGGCTGTGCGGTTTTGTGAGCGCAATTGAAAAGTAACTGAGACAGCCACAGAAGAGATCGTCTGTGGCTTTAAGTGTCAGGACACACGTAACACTCCTCGGTCTTGGCATCGGCATAGGCAGGATCTGCTGCCTCTCTCTACTGTGGAACTGCTGCTTCTCCTTTTGCTTTGTAAATATTTGGGATGTGATGTTTTGACACTATGCAAATATCTTGCATTTCTGTAAACTTTGGGACACCAATTTTAATATCCAGTCATGGATCTTACCAGTTATCAATATTATCCATTTTTATTGTTGATTTTCTGTTTGCCCATTTCTTCTATAATTATTATATGTGAATCTTCTATAAGAAGATCTGTTTCTATCAGTGTGTCATGTCTGAGTTTCTTTTATTTAAAAACTAAAGTCTTGTGTGGGATATATTGGTTTTTGCCTGGATGATTAGTTTTACACTAAATTTAGACTAACACCATTTATCAGGATGGAGGCCACCACCTCCCAGGGTACTTTCCTGGTTCGAATGTGTTGTCTCATTTTTGACTTTGTCGACACATTCATTCATCTGTTTGCGCATTTACTACCTCATCTCTCCCTTTGTCATCTCTACAGCTACT